GCCTACTAGTTTAACTGCTTAGAAAAGGATGACACAAATTTGCCTATAATTTATTATAATTTTAATGTGCCTTTATTTTATAATCATATCTTTGAAATTGTAAAATTAGTGTCATTGTTAAAATTATCAGAAAATTTGGGAAAGACAAAAAATAAGATTTTTTAATTTCAAACTTTTAAAAAATGAATACTGTTCAGTTTACCTTCATCTATTAACAATAATAATTAGAAGGGTGATAATGTATAAATAGAGTTATAAATGTGTTACTGAACTACAGCATGTCAGTACTAAACACCAAATATGAAGGCACTAAAAAACAGAATTTTACACATATCTCAGAACTGTAATTATGTTTGCAAAGATTCTATCCAAGTTTGGAAGTAGAATTTTTTTTTTCCATTATGAAAAAAAAGGTTTGATTCCCTTCCAAAGGTAGCATTATATTCTCATTTAAAAAATGGATTTGATCTGTGGTTCCAGTTGGTCTCAAAATTCATAAGTATATATTTCTCTTACATTGACAATTAATGCTAAAGTCTATTTAAAATTGTAAGAACAACATTCTTTTCTGTCTGAGGAAATTCTTTCATATATAAACAATATCTCAATTATCAAGGTTATGATGAATTATATTGTAAAAGGTAACATTATCCATGTCTGCTGAAGATAAACTAAATTAAATGGACAAATAGATTAGATATAAAGAAGGATATTAAGAGATTATGGAATTGCTTCCCTCAAGATCTTTATAAACAGTCCAGATACCCATCTGCCTACAATAGTTTAGGTAAAGTTTGCCTGAAGCCAGCGGGATGATGCGGAAAGATAACCTCCAGAGGTTTCCTGCAACCATATTTTTTTCTAAGATTTCACTCTATTGCCCTCTAACTGTACTGGCCTCTTCTCAGTTTTCTGATGAAGATTCTAGGCAGCATAGATTTTTTTTCTGAATGTTAACACTTCAATTTTTAGTTTATATTTTTCAATGAGAAAGAAAAGTAGCCAAAAGAGAGGTATTACCGAAGTGCAGATTTCGTGTAAGAAAATTAAGTGCATTCAATCTAGGTGAACATTATTAAAAGTCAGAATTGCCAGGATAAAATTTTTAAAACCCTACTGCACCCTTTATTACAGCATCACTGCCAAATAACCAAATGATTTAGAATATCCAAGAGAATTCTAAAATTTTCACCATATAAAAAGCATAAACTCCCTTAGTGCTAAAAAGGGAGTTAAAATTTATGTCCCATCAAAAACAAGCAAACAAACAAACAAACAAACAAAAAAACAGATTTATTGGATAGCCCTAAGTAATAACAGAATTCAGTCAGGGTGACCTCCTCATAAAGCCATAAGGTAAAGCACCTCCAAACGTCAGAGGTGGGACAGAAACCAGCAAGTGAAGGGCGCCCCCTGGAGTAGGGCAGGTAAAACTGGCAGGAACATTTGTGGCTGCCCTGGAAAAAGGTTTCTTCAAGGCCCACTCCTTTCACAACTGTTTTCATGTTAATTTATTATGTAAAAAATTGGTTTTCATAAGTGCTGATTATTTAATGTAGCAATTTTATCAGTAGTTCAATATATAACAAAATTCCAAAAGGTTAAGTTTTTTTATAACACATTTTCAAATTTGGCCAATACCTTTTTTCTATTAGTCGTTCATTCACTGGAATTTCGATTCTTAATTACCTGTGGCATTGATACTATTTTTAACTGGGTTATATCCCTAAAATTTTGACATTTTACAAGTATTCCGGCAGTCTTCCTAGCTTCACAAGCAGGAGGAGAAACCTCTATCTCCATAACATATGTAAGAATAGCTTACATAGTTAACTTTTGCACGAAGTATTACCAAGTATATGATAATTTTTTGACAGTCTGGAATGGTTTGCTAGTTGTTTAGAATATAATGGTAAATGTTTAGGATTGAGGTTTCCTATAGTCAAGTTTGTATATTCAGTAAAAAGTTGATCAGCAGAGATCACAAGAGAGCCCAACTCAACTACTTAGCAGGTATTACAAGAAAGACCACTGAAAGCACATGGGTTATTCAATGAATTTCTCGTAGCAAAAACACTGTGAAGCCCGTGTGACCTATAGTGGTAAATCACTTGAATATCACATATGTGCAACATTATTCAGTGAAGGGGCAGGAGAGAAGACACATTCCAGAGGAAAAAATATCCGATTGCCTTTCCATAATTCAGATGCCCTAAGTTTACTTAACTTGAAAAAAATTGTGCTAACTTTGTGGCAGACACCTGAAAAAATGATGGCTGGGAAAAAATGTGTAGAAATCATGACCTCAAGAAGGCATGATATTGTTTTTTAAAACTGTTACAATTTTCCATATGCTTTTCATTCATCAGAAGCAGCAAACATTTGCATTTCACAAAATAAATGTATATGGCTCATGATACAATCTACACATTATCATATTATAACTATATGTAACATGTAATAGAAGATGGACTGCGTGCTTTTACTAAATTGTTTGTAATATTCATTAAAAATAAAGCAGAATATTTGGGTTTTATATAAGTGCCCCTAACTGCAGTTTATTAATAAAGTAATTAATTTTAGATAAATATCTCTTTTATTATAATGCTTATAATAATTTTTAAAATTCCAGTTTTAAGATGAATGCCATTATAATGCGCATGACTAAATTTTATTTTAATAAAGACAAGAGAAAGAGATGCCTACAGTAATTTATATACAGCTGCAGAAAAGGCTTACAAAGCTAGACCTACTTACTGCTTGTTTCTCTTACAATTACTTCTTAGTCATTGAATGAGAAGAAACATTTTTCTCATCTCTGATCCAATCCAATAAAAGATCAGTTATCTTTGTTTGAGTTTTATACTTTTTTTATATGATATGGAGTATATTTAGATGACTCATTGTAGTTATTTTACTGTTTTCCTTTAATGCATACATCACTTTCTGCAAAGAAATGAATAAATTAACATGTTCCTGGCCACTACTCATAGGGGAAAAAAAAACTCAAGCATAGTATTTAAATCACTAGATCACTAGTCCTGTTTAATATGAATTAAATACATAAAATCCATCAGTGCCTCTGCAATTTTGCCCAAAACATTTGAAAACCACAAATAAAACAAATGCAATGTTAGTTTGGTTTGTGGAAGATGCTCTTTTCCTTCATGTTTCAAAAAGATATAAAGCTTGAATCAAGTGATAAAAAAATAGTTTAAATTTAAGACTTACAATAAGTCTGTTTAGTAAAGTTTAAAACTGGCAGGAGACGTAGCCATTTTATTTTTTCATTTTCTGTTAAAGATTTCTTTGTAGTACGTGAAAAAGGTGTGTACATGCTAAGAAACATGCAGTTTATAGTACTCATTTCAAAACAGTCTGCATTTGAAAACAATGTCTGGCACAAGAAATCAGCGAAGACATAGGAAAAATATTAAAATCTCTGTGGGAGTGACAGCAAAAAATGGAGAGAGACAGATTCCTCTATCTGATCCTTTATGATTCTTTTCTGGTTATTGAGTATATAAATTTCAATCCCCTAGTACAACTGAAGGGGGAAAACATGATTATCGTATCACTCAAAGCTTCACAAGTTTAAATTCACTTCTGATATAAATTCACTCTATGTAAAGTGACTTTTAATATTTTGTTCCTTAACATAAGTATTAAATTTTGTATGATTAAAAATTTACTTTCTCTTTCTTCCTTGATTTAAATTTTTATTTGCTATTATTCCCACTCCTAACCCATCTTGTCAAAAATATTTTTTTGTACATTAGCAAGGAAAGTTTTAAAGTAAAAGGTAGTGTTATTATTTAAGCATATGACCAAACTGTTGTATAAACAATAAAGGTGTTTGAATACTAGTTATTTACAAAAGTGAAAACATATACTTATAGTTTGACACTCATTTAGCATTTACTTGGTATATATCAGTTTGTAATACTGTTTTTTAAAGTGAATAGTTCCCTTATTTGTCCAGAAAGCATTGTGGGAAAAGTATTTTCACTTGTTCTTACTAGGTTTAAAACATTTAAGAAATACATACTTTTAGAAAACCTTACCAATTCTGTAACACACATTTAAAAATTCAAGCTGAGAAAAATACTAATCTATATAAATATACCGTAGGCAACACAGAATGTGCGTTCCTTGGAGCAAAGAAAAGTGAGATCTGGGAATTGTTGCGGATTTCAGTTATCCTGATACCGATTATCTGAGCATACCTAGTGTCCGCGTGCCTTCTTGCTGTCTTTATCTGTAAAATACCACTTTTCTCCACCCAAACGATACACAGTTTACTTCCCTGAAGACATCTCTGCTCCTACCAAGCTATTTTATTTTACAACCCCCAGCCAGAAATAATGTTCCTCACTTCCAGTCTAAGTTCCTATGTTTCTCACTGAGGGTATTATACCACCATTACATTGTGGTAGAAAAGAGTTGGGTAAAGAATACTTGGTTCAATTTTTTAAATTTGTTTGTGTGCTTATTAAAGAAATATCTGACATAATTTTACTTAATTTGTTGAATTTCAATTTCCTTCCTTTAAATGTTCATACAAAAGAATTATGCTTAAAAAAAAAAAAAGCAAGAATGTTACCTATATTTGGATTCTAGAAAATCTGTTATAGCCAAAATAATGCTTATCTGACTCTCAGAAAGATGGCTACAAATTATTTTTAAATGAAAATTATTGATTTGCGTTATTAGAAGATTCAAGAAAATTAATTTAATCTCAAATAAAAATAATGAATGTCAATAACCAGAAAGAAAATATAATATAAAATTCAGTAGGTTTCTCATGTAGTATTATGGTGTATACCTATATTATATTTATATATATATATTTTTATACTTACTGTTTATTCATATAGTATTATAGCTAGTTAGAAAACTTTAAAGATCTTATCTACAATAAAAATTAAAAAACAAAAAAATGCTCAGTAATAAACTTAACAAGAAATGTATAGTATCTATAGAAATACTATTACAGGGCTGGCCAGTTAGCTCAGTTGGTTAGAGCATGATACTGGTAACACCAAGGTTCAGGGTTCGATCCCCATACTGGCCAGTTGCCTAAATAAATAAATAATACTACTAATTTTACTGTGGAATCTTAAGTAAAATTTAGAAAATTGATCACATGGGCCGAGCCCGTGGTGCACTCGGGAGAGTGCGGCGCTCGGCAGCGCACCGCGGGTTGGGATCCTATATAGGGATGACCGGTGCGTTCACAGTGCTCACTGGCTGAGCACAGTGCGGCTGGTCTCAAAAAGGACAAAAAAAAAAAAAAAAGAAAGAAAAGAAAAGAAAATTGATCACATTATAGGTGGCTGAAGTTATTCTTTTTCTTCTCCCTCTCTCGTCTTCCAAATCAAATCAATCAAGTTCTTTGTCATCACGTCTCTATGTCTTTCAAATTTGCCTACTTTCCTCTTTCTTATTAAACTACCTTCATTCAGGCGACAATGGTCTCTTATCTGGGTTAATACTACCACCTCCTAACTGGTTTCTGTTCTTCCAATCTTATCCCCATCCAATCTCTTCTTCGCGCAGGAGCCGCAGAGATCTTTCTAAATGCACCCCTAATTATGTCAAGCACGCCCTTGCACCTCTCCTCAAATCCTTAAAACCCTTCAATGACTTTCCATCCCTCTTGGAATATTGTCTGAATTCCTTTTGTGTGCTTACTGGATATTTTATGATTGGACTTCTTCTCACCTTTCTAGTCTCTTTTCTACTCCCTTACTTCCCTACAGTTTTCCATACTTTGTCTTTATGTATATATGATTCATAAACAATGTATACTTAGTGTATTTAAAATTTCCTGTCAATGGTAGCATATTCCTACTTTTTTGCAACTTACCTTTTTTTAGATTTACTTCTTAACTTATGTAGATCTAGTTACTTAAGTAGTTACTGCTCAACAATCCATTGTTTAAATAAACCAGTTGATTTATTTACACTTTTACTGCAATATCTTTGTGTCTCTAATAATTGGCATAAGGTTGCTATTCAAAGCATGTTTATATGCATGAAGAACTTAAGCTAAACGAAGTAGTCAACAAAGTTAAATATCATAGAGATTAAAGGATCAGGTTTAGAAAAAGTAAAGTGCTATATTTGAGAGGTTTTACATTTGAATCTAACTTTTCCATTTAAAAAGGTTTGAAAGAAAATATAATATGAATAAAACTAGTTTCACAAACTTGTTATTTCTCCTCCATTCTGAGCAATTGATTCCTAAACAACCTTCTGTATTGCACTTAGATGTCACTAAGAAATCTCTAACAACGTCATGAAATACAAACGAAATTAATTCAAACCTATATTATAATAAAAGTTTGCCAAATAGCACACTTAGAGAGAGATGGAAGATATTTTTGTAAACCCAAACACACAATAAAATATGGAACAACTTCAAATATTGGAAAATCTTTATTTTTAAAATATAAACACATTTCCTTCATTATTTATTAATGGAGATAGATTGGTCAATAATCACAAAGAATGTGAGGATAAAGTACTTTGGGAAATGCTCTCATTAGCTATTTTTCTAATCCTTTCACACAAGCAGTTCTATAACTTCAACTACCTTTAACTCCTCATTTATTTACTCTTTACAAGTTTACCACTTAAGCACAAAGAAATGCAAACACAGACCACATTAGGCAAAAAATAAAGGATGCTTCTTTATCATCCAAAATAGAAGTTATTGGTGCCTATAAAATTACAATTAAGTGGTAGACAATTTTTAATAAATATAATAAAAACCATTAACAACAAAGGGAAAATAGGAAAACAGTCACAACAAAAGACTTCTAGTATATTTATTTATTGAAGATATATTAAAGTAATGAAAAATTAGTGACATCTGACATGTTTCAGGTGGCAGTCTGGTAAACTTTTGTTTTACCAGAGTTTGTTGATAGCGTCCATCAAAACTTCTGCGTTTTATTCATGTGTTAAACTATCACTATTGACAATTAGCACCGACTAATTCCAGATCTGTTGATTTAAGAACTCATTTCATTTACTTAGATTTACTTGACTTTATTTACAGGAAGACCTTTGAAAACCAAACACTTAATCACATGCCTAGATCTAAGAAAGGCTTGAAAAGGTAGGTCCTGCACATGATTAAGGGAGAACAAAAAAATCCCAGCATTCAGTGCATTGCGGATAGCTATTGAGTAAAAGAATAGATAGATGGATAGACAAACATACAGACAGAGAGATAAACAGACAGATGATATATACGTAGATATGAATACATAGGTAAATACATAGATAGACAGGTAAACGGAGGAAATCATCTCCTTCTAAATCAAGTTTCTCCATTGTTCCATACTTATTTTGTGTAAAGGAATTCCCCAACATATCACGGAGCCCATTATTCAACAATCAGTATAAAAATATAGCACAAATCTAAATTGTAATTTTTTTTGATAATTCAGCATATTAAATTATTAGTTTGTCTTTGTCTCTACTGCTTCTAGTATTGCAAATAATTGACAATAGATTTACTTGTTTTATGACTCCAGAATTCCATTATTTTATGCCTTCTTTCTGGAGTCCATTTAACACAAACACAATACAAGCAATTTGTGTTAAAACACCAAAAACCCCTCTAACATATATCACTGCTTCTTTAGGTAGTTTTCTGATATATGCAGATAGATTATCAGGCCAGTTTTGACTTATATTCCCAAGATATTTTAGCAATCCAGATTAAAATCAAGTAGGAATTATCAGCCAGGTATTTTGACATCAGAGCATGATAATTTCTGAAATTAAATTTGGAGATGCAGAATGACCTGGCAAAACTCAAGGCAAATTCAAATGCATTGAGCTACCGCCTAGTACTAGCTGTCAGAGAACACCTGAAAAGTATTTTGACATCAGAGCATGATAATTTCTGAAATTAAATTTGGAGATGCAGAATGACCTGGGGGAGGGGAAGATGATTGAGAACAGCCTTGAAACTCAAAGCAAATTCAAATGCATTGAGCTACCGCCTAGTACTAGCTGTCAAAGAACACCTGAAATAAATTTCTGCAAAATTATTTTTTCTTTCATTGAACTTGGGTTTCACCTGTCTTTCTTCGATTTCAGTTTATTTGAACTGTATACATTTTATCAAAAATTGAGGGGTTATATTTAGTGTACAATTATCTATTCAGTAAAAAGATACCCCACTAAATCTGCAAACACATTTTAATTCAGTAGAACATCTTGATTGTTATTTCAAAACAAGAAATTGAGATTATCCGGGTCATCCTGTCACCTTCCTCTTTCTACAAATTTTCCTCCTGACTGCCAGTCTCATGAATTGGTGGAGGGGGCTTTCTTCATCCACTTGTGCACTTGACCCTATTTCCACATCTCCAAGAACATCCTCTACCATGTATTCATTCCAACTCTTCTATCTTCAACCTCTTTCATTCTATAGTAACATCCTTCAAAATTTTTAAGCTTCTCTCCTGCTTAAAAAAAAAAATGATGATAGATAGGTAGATGATTATTTTAAAAAGAAATATTCTTCCCTTAACCTGATATACTTTTAACTGCTATTCAATATTTAATATTGTCTCTATTTTGTCTTTATTTAATGTTCTTAAAATGTTAGTTTACACTGGATAATGATTCTCTCTCTGTAAATCAGTTTTTTTCCTTTTCCTTCAAATGAAATTATCCTGACAAAAATTACTCATAACACTCATAGAACAAAATCTTATACATAGTTTTCTATCTAAATATATACCAGCAATCTTGGCCTATCTCTCCTCTGAACTTCAAGGTTATATATCACAATTATCTATCAAACATACAGCAATTGAAAACTAACTCACTCTAACACCGAACTTAGCAAGTTTTTCTTAAAACTTGTTTTTTTACCTCTCCTCTTTCTCCCAATTATTCTTCAAATCTTTTGAGTCTAGTGTCAGGGAAAATTTGATTCCCTGGCTTAGAGATTGGTTGATATGGGAGCAAGGAAGGGAGGTTGAAGTTAGTAAGATGGGGGGGGGGGGGGGGGAATACACATCAGTGTTCCTTCACCCCGACCGTGCATCACTATTAGCTACGGAGCTTTCAGAAAATACTGATGCCCAAGACACCACCGCCTCGTATTCTGATGTAATGTTTCTGCAGTATCCTATGTGCTGGACACCATGCTGCTCACCTGGAGTAAAATGTTGAGCAGGCCACGTATGGTCTCTGTCCTCACAAAGTTTTTAGTGCAAACAATTAAGTAAGCAATTGCTCTTAACAATAATAAGCAGTGTGATAGAAAATACATGGATGGCTGTCACAGCACAAGCTGGCTACATTACTCAGTAACTTCTGAAAGGAGACTCATAGGAATTGATCATGCAAAGGTGACAGGGTTCCCAGGGCAGAAGGAACAGTATGTGCAAAGCTTTGAGGCTTTGAGAGGGGGTTACAGGCAATGAAAGAAATGAAAGAAATTCAGTATACCTGAAATTTACGTCCAAGTTGAAAGAAAGGGGTTAGAGATGAAATTGGAAATGAAAGCAAGGACCATATCACAGAGGTTTTTGAATCGCTGGAGAAATCCACTAAGAACTTCTAATTAGGAGCAAAGGTGTTAATTGAGGGTTGACAGCTGATCAGGTCATAGCCTTGATGAACATGGTGGTAGGGAGAACCTGCAAGGGGATTATAAAATGTTGCAATAGGAGAAAAAAACATTATGTTTTATATTTAAAAAAGGTTATATATCACAATTATCTATCAAACATACAGCAATTGAAAACTAACTCACTCTAACACTGAACTTAGCAAGTTTTTCTTAAAACTTGTTTTTTCACCTCTCCCCTTTTTCCCAATTATTCTTCAAATCTTTTGAGTCTAGTGTCAGGGAAAATTTGATTCCCTGGCTTAGAGATTGGTTGATATGGGAGCAAGGAAGGGAGGTTGAAGTTAGTAAGATGGGGGAGGGGAATACACATCAGTGTTCCTTCACCCCGACCGTGCATCACCATTAGCTGCGGAGCTTTCAGAAAATACTGATGCCCAAGACACCACCACCTCGTATTCTGATGTAAT